CGCGACGCGCCGTACGCTCGGGCTTGGTTCTGGTCGGGCGGCAAGTCACCCGTGTTCGCCGTCCGCAGGCCCGTGCTTACGGTGGCCGGAGATCGTCCCGCAATTCCCGACGCCCAGAGCGTCCTTCGTGGTGACTGGGTTGCGAGGAGTCAGCGCTTCGCTGCCTCACGCGTCCCGCTTCCTCACTTAGTAAGTGTACAGCACTTACTTTCCCCTAATTTAACGCTAGACCAAATAACACCCACACTCACAGAACACATGTTAAAATCCTCACGTCAATACTAGGCACCTTTTCAGCTGAAATAATTCATACATTTACAGGTATTACACAAAATATATTAGCTGTAACAATGACAGATCATGAGCGTTGATTAATCTCCTTTATGCCGCTGTAAAGGTCTCGCCACACGACCGCAGCGTGTACGCCGCGACACTGGACGACTATATTTCCCTGCGGTGCCATTCTAGAGCATTTCATTTTCGTCGTAGTAAAATATTATATTAGGTTTTTGTGTTGGTCGTTTATTATGTGTATATTTGTCTGTATGTTTTTTTAAAGTTCTGTCTGGACGACGTGTTTATTGGTTAACTTTCATGGTGTTTCTACAAATTGGTTAAGGTAGTTTATGAATAAAATTTGGTGTTTAGTATGGGCATAACGATACCTGAAATTAAAGTATAAATAAATAGATTATTTGGCAACCGATTTGTGATTCCTCGAAGTGATAGAGAGAGCTGTGTCTATTTACACAAGTCATTATTCTTGGTAGTCATAATTGTTATGTAGTGATTAAGCAGTTCGACGTAATGTTTCTGAAAACATCTGATAGTTCCCTTATTTCGTTTCACTTAAAGCGCATTAACGAAAATGTTCGTATTTCAAAAATATTACGTACATTAAAAGTTTATAAAGTATTCTTAGCTCTTAAAACTTTATTTCAAACATAATAACATCTAATTAGTAAGTTTTCGTTTTAGCAGTTAGTTTTCGTCTGAAATTGTCCCCGGTGTATGGCAATAGGCTCACCCCCAGTACATGGGATTTATAACATAATTGGTGAAAAATGGTTGCTACATTATTACCTTTTTTTAAGGGGGGAAAATCATCGAATGACTGCTCCCGCCATAGTGTCAGACTCTTACTGACTAAAAACCACCCCGTTCCTTTTCCTGCACGTCGAGCCGGAGCCCCGGTTACCCGTTAGGTTCTCCGCGACTAAGAGGCTCATATTCACGAGCAGCATTCTGCGTATTATCTGCGCTGCATTCAATAATTTTTTCAAAACCTTGTATGATAGTCCCTCAGTCACAATTAATAGAAGAGTTTCGAGCACCATAACATTGATTTTACTCTCATAAACAAAAAGCAATCAATTAATTAATCAAAACACACATGACGGCTCGCCCAATCAAAATTTTAATTTAATTTCAATTTGAACCAATCAAAACGCTGCGTAGTACGCTTTTCTCAGAACTGCTTGCGTTAGATACAATCATAATTTAGTTACCGTGAAATGTGATTCATTTGTGAATTAATTACAGTGTAAATGAATTACTTTTTAATCAATATTTGAATAGCTTACGTTCTATTGGCTGGTTTGTAAAGTAGAAGTCGATATTTCTATTTGTTGTTACTGTGGCGTATACCATAGTTATAAAAATCAAAGTTGCAAAAAAGCTAGAATTCGTACTTCATTCGTGTCTTTTTTTTTGAGGGGGGAAATTCATCTTCTTTTTCAGGGGTAGGCAGAGGTACATATTACGGCACCTAATGCCACTGTACAATGTAACACCCACTTTTCACTATTTATGTTATGAGTCCCATGTAATAGAGGGTGAGTCTATTGCCATATACCGGGCAAAATTCTAGACTCCGTGCTACTACTGAGAATTTTTAAAAACCTAGTTGTACTTTGCCCGACCCGGGAATCGAACCTGAGACCCATAGCCCAGTAATCAGACTTGCGACCACTCGGCCAACGAGGCAGAAAAATACATACTTTCCCATTTACCATCTTTTTTCTAATATTAAAATGGTTTTGCATTTGATATCGAGTGTTCGGTATCTGTAATATCTACGGACCATCTGGCGATTCCACTTATATTGAAAACGCTAAAATTACACAGAATGAAACAACGAAAATACCATTTTTTATTAATTTTGTAATTTAGAATTTCATATTAAATATATCTGTCTGTGTTTTGTGTGAAAATGAATTGTGAATGTGTATGGATTGTGTTTTTATTGTCACAATTTAATAAATAGTATCATTAGATAAAATTTTTCTATTTTAACAAAGGAGGTACGTGTTATAGTTATCTATTGACTAGGTTTTTTGTTAACGATAGTATGATACACATTTTTTTTCTTTTATGTTGATTTTGATTCATGTATAGGTACTATAGCTACTATTAGAAAGTGATTATGAAAATTATAATTTAACAAATAACTCCCACCCCTAAATATCACTTTATATTAGAATTTTGCTTAATTTTATCTTGTATTGCATCTGATATTGATTTTATTGTACACTTATATTTTTTTAACTCTACGAACGGCATGTCAAAGTGTGCTCCCTCCAAAACTTATATTGTTGTGCCCGACAGGGACATTGTGTCTTACCTCTAATTATGTAACCTAAGTAATACATGTGGAGAGCAATAAAGAATTGAGTATTGAGTATTATTATACTTATATGATTCGGTTATAGATTTATCCCACTAGTTGACCCGGCAAACATTTTGTTAATTATTTTTCTCACCTTTTAAATTTTCCTTGGACTTCTGCTTCTGCAAACTTCTTCAAACATTACAATAATGAAATTAGCCAAATCGGTCCAGCCGTTCTCGAGTTTTAGCGAGACTAACGAACGGTAATTCATTTTTATTTATATAAATAGATATGTATTATATATGTATACTTTTTTTATGGGGAGAAAATCATCGAATGACTGTTCCCGCCTGGGGTAGGCCGGAGGGAGTGTCAGACTCTTACTGACTAAAAACCACCCCATTTCTTCTCCTGCACGTCGAGCCGGAGCCCCGGTAACCCGTTAGGTTCTCCGCGACATATATGTATACTACCCTTTGTTTATAAACCCCATTGATAGCAGTCCATTGAACACTTCTACTTAGGATATTTTTCACAATGTCGAAGGGAAAAAGGGATTTCTTTCGAACAAGTGTATTCAAGCGGAAAACTATCCCAGTCAGTAGTTGGATGTACAGTCGGTTACAGATACAGATACGTAGCTAGGGATGTCAATGTTTTAAAGAGAAGTGTTTATAATAACGACTGCCTCGTTGACCGAGTGGTCGCAAGTGCGACTGTCTGGCAAGGGGTCTCGGGTTCTATTCCCGGGTCGTGCAAGATATTACTGGGTTTAAAAAAAAAATCTCAGTAGTAGCACGGAGTCTGGAATTGTGCCCGGTATATGGTAATAGGCTCACCCCCTATAACATGGGACTCATAACATAAGTAGGTAGTGAAAAGTGGGTGTTACATTGTACAGTGGCATAATGTGCACCTCTGCCTACCCCTTCGGGGATAAAAGGCGTGATGTTATGTTATGTTTATAAAAACTATCGTGAGACATAAATAAAACATATACTAAATTTACTTAAAATCGCGGGTTACTCACGTGTATGCTGAACCTGGATTCGAACCCACTCACTGGTGAACGTACCGTGCGTTTCAATATCGTCGCAAGCGCCGCCGCCGGAGTTGTGACCGGCAGAGGGCGTGGTGGTCTCGTAGCGACATCACTCTGACCGCGCACGCTGCTCATAAGAAAGAACCCCTCTGTGGTTCGAAACTAGTAGAGCTTTTCTCAGCATATTCACGTAACTATTTAATTAGTAACCCGCGATTTTTAGTTAAAAGTTATAGTTTTCTTTAGAATATAATAATGATATTTCACAACTTCATGAAACAGCCATCGATCGATGTTGTATAGAAAAAAAAACATCTGGGGTACTGTTTATTTCAAAATAAGGATTAAAGCTAAAGCAAGCTCTGAACTTCATGTCTACCACTTACCAGTCTTCAGAACTTTTTATCCCGTTACCCCGAGTAAAACCAGAATATAACTATGTCTCATGATCCTGGTAACATGTCTACGTAGTGAAATGTACACAAACAGAATAATTGCGTATTCGTATCACGGTGGGTTTCAGTTCGGTCCCGGCAACTTTCCTGTTTACCAGAAATAACCGCTTTTGTTAATATTCTCGGCGGTTCCTTTAAATTTTTTCTTTTATTTTCCCGTTGTATATATATATATATATATATATATACTTGTTTGTTGGTAGCCATTTTTGATGATTTCGTGTTTTTTGAACGTTTGTTTTTATGGGTTTTTTTGGTAGATTTTCGTTTTATTTGTAAAAGGAAAATTGTTACGTATGGGTTTGTTGGTTAGGATGACTTTCGTAAATAAATGTGATATTTATTTTACGAAGGTTTCTTTTATTGAAATAAAGGTAATTATAATTAAATGTGTAATACTGCATAAATTGCAATACATTCAAAGTTTTATTATTGTTTGCCATTTAAATTATAGATTAGCTGAACCGCTAATCGGCTGCTTTTTTAAATAAGAGGTACATTAACTACCTTTCAATAAAAGTCCGGGCAAAATCGGTTCAGCCAATTCAGAGATTAGCCAGTACAAACAGACAGACAATAGACAGACAGAATGAATTAGAAAAACTGTTATGTTGGTATATAATTATCGAATTCATACACATGCAGTACAAAGCGGTAACTTTAATATTACAAACACATACTCCAATTTTATTTATCTGTATAGATATTATTAATCATTGAAACCAAAATGATATCTGCGTAATAAAATAGTAAAGAACTTCAAAAATAAACGAATACTAAATTAGCAAATACGTGCATTATTTCTTTTCAAGCAAGGCATTCTACTATATTACACTTGTCACTCGAGTTAATTCAATGTAAATATCTGAAATATATTCTTTATTTGTTTCAGAACATGGCGCTACACAGATCAAAGGCGGCTACATGCTGCGATACAAACGTAAGTATCTTTTGAAATCATACTTAGCTCAGAATATCGAAGGTGTAGCAAATTCGTAGCGATCTCGTAGCACTCTCGTAGACCCTGCGTAGTATCTGTATGAATCCAATTCTGATTCACCTTTTCATTTTAAATTTCATTCCAGATTCGAATTCTTCGATAACATTTCATATAGTTAGAAATAAATTGCTCGTTGAATACGTAGTGAGCATTCGTTCGTAATGAAAAAAAAAATAATGAAATAAAACTAGGGTCGTCGAGATTTACAAGGGTGAGTGAACTCAATATAATATAGTGAAACAAAAAGTTTTTAAAGAAGATATATTCTGTCGTGTTTTTCCTCTCAGACGAACAACACGCTCGTAGGGGAAGGTCTGAACTTCTTTATAGTGATCTCGTAAAAGTCTCGTCAATAAAAAATACGTACTCGATCATTTTCGAAGTGAGTCAATAATCTGACAGGGTGTAGGCGACATGAAAGGGGCTTGGGAACAGGGCTGTTAACGTTTTATCAATGAATATTTATCGATTTATAGTACTAGAGACATTGTGAAAGACTTCGTTCTCGGAAGAATTGAAATTATTCTTATTCAGCTGCCAATAGGTATTTGATGTGGGTCGAATTTTATTCACAGTTTTTTATGGAGCTAAATTAAGTTCATCTCCTCCTCGTAGGACTTTTCTATAAATCGAAACGAAATTGCTGCGTTCAAAGTCAATGAAATGGTAAATACACATACTACAATTCTGAAAGAACCTAACAAATCATTGCCTGGGCCATTGCATTGAACTCCAGATTCCATGTTCAGCAGTCTCGCTAATCAACACTCTTCGTCAACGAACCAGTCTTCCTCAACACTTTGATTAAAACACTAACATCTCCACATTAAGGTTGTCAAACACTCCTAATTTACTCCAGTATATCGGTGATGTTCGGCAACCCTTAATTTGACTCGCCGACCCTGCCTTTAGGGTTAATTCTCATTCGTTCGTAAAACAAAGTTTCTTCACGACGATTGCCGAAGGTTTATATAAACTGTTATTCTAGTTTTATTGTACTGAGATTAAGGGACTGGGGATGTAGGAGATTAAAGAGGAAAGATTAATATTAGATTGGTTATTATTGGCTGTCTAGGGAAAAACGTTATATATGTCACCATTAACAGCCTGTGATCGTCGACAGCCGAGTTCGGCTATAAATATAATCCTCATCTACAAAAGAGGGGTTATCATGTCATAATCTGTACACTAGGCGGGTTGGAGATGTGCCTTAATGAGCTACCACTACCAGTCTGATGCCCGATACGGAGCCACAGAAGACCTAACGGGTTGCTGCTGGTCCGGCTCGAAGAGCAGTAGTAGGAACAGTTTGATTTTTAGTCAGTAAGAGTCTGACACTCCCTTTCGCTTAACCCAAGGTGAGAGAAGATATTGGATGATGTTCCTCCCTCAAAAAAGGCGCTTTATTAGAGAGCGGTGTTGCGTTCGTCTGTTGTTGACTCTTAAAAATACGCGAGGGAAGAGAAGGGGTAACAACAAATGTATTTTCGTTTTTTTTAATGATTGTACAACAAATAAAAATAATATTTTCGGCACTTCTGACTTTCTTTTCGCATTAGCTCTGTGGCAGGCTGTTATGAAATTGGCGATGTAAGTAAAAACGGCAGCTGGCGTGCCAGTTACTCGACTATTAAGTAGCTGAAGAGAGTTACGGCCAAACCTCACTTGTGAGACAGAGATAGAGTGTTAAAGAAAAGAGACAACGAATGTAAATGACGTCATTGACAGTGAACTCAGCGTTTATATAGGGTCTAAATAAGGAGGAATTTTTTTTAATGCCTGTTTATGTTTTCCTCCTGTGTGTTGGTTGCGTTTACAAACATGATTTCACACGCACGTTATTCTCAGACCCAGTACAACAATTCAGAATATATTCGAAATAAAAAATCGTTTCTGTGCGGGACACAAACCCACTACATGTCCATGATAACCACTGCAAACTATTGTCAACTGAAGTCAATAATCAAATTCAGGATTATAAAAAAAATCAACCAAGAACTTGACTCAACTGCATAACGAGGTACTTATTATCAATATTAACTGAATTAAATAATATACTTTCGGCTTCTTCACGTAATTGTTTGACGAGGAAATCAACTAGTTTTAATGCATGCTAGTATAATTAGCCGAAAATACACTAATGCTTAATGTTTTATTGAACATAATACACTTAAGTAAAATAATATTATGAATAAATATACACCAATAACTTAAAATTAAGGACAACTAAAACAGCGAATAAAATAATACATTATTAATTATGTATGTCCCACGAAAGTTCTTATATAAACAAGATTAACTGATTGCGAACTACCTATATCGAATTAATTATGAAGAATAGCCCGTGATGCAGTTGAGTTAGACCTAAGTCCTTCGTCTATCCAAGGCGTTAGTAAGCGCATTCGATTTCAAATAATCGTAAACTTTGAATGTCGAGATAGCTACAATTAGGTACTTTACTTAATGAGTCTTCTATCAGTACCTAACTGTTACGTGAAGTTGTAAACTTAAATGTATTTTAGTTGTAGCAACACTGATGGGAATTACTCTAATCAACTATTTTGTGCTCAAACAAAGGTGAATTTACAATTTTCAAGATTTAATTTCGAGTTAAATGTAATAGAAGTAAATAAATACTTATTAGCGTTGTTGGGAGATATTTTCTTTCTTTATGCTCCAAATTTATTGATATCCATATTACTAATATAACTAATAGTACTAGCTACTTCCGGGCAGTTTCACACGCTCTGCTCAGCTCCTATTGGTCGTAGCGTGATGTATTATAGCCTATAGCCATCCTCGATAAATGCACTACCCAATACAAAAATAATTATTCAAATCAGACTTGTAATTACGGAGATTAGAGCGTTCAAACAAATATAAAATAAAAACTCTTCCACTTTATATAATAGTATAAGATAAGATAATAGTATCAGATTTAAAACTATAGAACTTAAAAACTACTTACAAAAAACATAAAACAAATTAAAAATCACTATTTACAAAGAGCGTCGAAAAATGTATCCGCATCGATGTCAGCTGGGAAAGTACTCAGAAGGCTGGCAGCTTTGCCACGTTTATGACAATGCTTAATCTCTGACCAAGGAACAGAGCAGCCCTCTGGTCACGAGATACGTCGACCAGGCGTTTTGTAATATTTTTAAATAAAGTATGGGCACTCGGACCCCACGGACATAGTGTCTCAACCCCAAACGGCTCAAAAACATCATTACCAGAGCAAGATATTACATTTGCGCCGTTCGAGGCTTTTTGCAGCAGCAGCAGCCGAACCAGCACAATCCACCGTTACTGGAAGATGAGAGGGTGCAAGGATATAGACGCAGGTTTCTTTATGTTCTGACTGCCTCGTTAGCCGAGTGGTCGCAAGTGCGACTACCGGGCAAGGGGTCTCAGGTTCGATTCCCGGGTCGGACAAAGTGTTACTGGGTTTTTAGAAAATTTTCAGTAGTAGCACGGGGCCTTGAATTGTGCCCGGTATATGGCAATAGGCTCACCTCCTATTACACGGGACTCAAAACATAAATAATAAAAAGTGACATTGTACAGTGGCATAATGTGCACCTCTGCCTACCCCTTCGGGGATAAAAGGTGTGATGTTAGTTATGTTGTTTCTTTATGCTCTTGTTCTGTATTAAACCCTACTCTTTTCGTGGGCATCATAGAGTCTAAGGCAATACACATTTGTGCTCTGATTATACTAGAACTTTTTAGCTACTATCTTCAGCCTGCTTAAGTATTGTGACTCCCATGTACTTTTTATTATTCTTCATAACACATCGAATACGATACTTACAAAGGTTCAATGCAGACGTATAGGCTTCTGAATATCCATTCGTCTTTACGTGCTCTTCGATCTGAGTCTCAAGATGGTAATAACGTTGCGGTCGTGAGACTGGTAATAATGTTACCGTCGTGAGACTGGTAATAATGTTACCGTCGTGAGACTTATGATCCGGAGATCAATTGCGTTTTGCGAATCTTAACTGTCAGCACTTAAATCCTGATGGGCTTGAATACTGTCATGTCAACTTATTATATACCTAGGTACATCCTTTGCTTCAAGCAACACTGAAGAAGTATGAATATGGTGTATTTGTTGTAAAATCTAATGTAACAGTTTTAGTTTAATAAAAATTTATTGTACACTGTCGATGTATGTATGTACTATGAATGACTTCATATTGTTTATTATAGTTATACGTACATAC